TTATACTTTTTTATACGGTTTTTAATTCACTCATTTTATCATCGATTTTTAACTTGCTTCGAGTCGCTGTCGAAGCTATCCAGTTTGAATTTTGCATTTTGCACACTCACATTTTATGGACAACAGTTTTGTGGTAACGAAACGATTTTTTCAAAATTCGATTTAGATTTTAAAAATTGAATATTTAATTGATTTTTCCTACTTTTAAAGAACAAACTAAAAATCTCAAAAAATTAATGTTTGTATCATCAGATAAAGCAGGAAAAAAATCTTTTAAATGAAATCTGCACGAAATTTTTAACATTACACCTAATCATTTGGCGAATTTTCCCAAATCGCTCAATTTTTTTCGGCTATTTCCTTCCATTATTTTAAAATTTCAGCACCTAAATTTTTTTTTATTACAAAGTTTTGAACTTTTCACAGATAATAAAACGAACTCTTCGTCTTCTTTTAAAACAAACAAGATAAAAAATATTAATTATTCGGTTTTCTACATTAAAACAAAATCAACAATAGGAACTAGGGTAAAGATCTCCTTTTCCTTCGTCATTGCTTCGTAACGTTATGTCAAGATCAAGATATCACTGCGTTATAATAAAATCTACCGCATCATTTAAAATTTTTTTCATTTCATAAGTTTCTGTACATTTTTCTCAATATTTCATTTTAACAGCTGATTTTCTTAATTTTATTAGTGATGCATAATTTTATATTCTTTTATAGACCTTCAGGACTCTAATATCCAAAAGATTTGAAATTTTCAAGGCTATGAGAGAAATTTTTCATCTCTTCTAAAGGAAGAATGGTAAAAAAATACAAATTAGGAGATTTCTAGAATATTTTTAAAAAAAAACTAGCTGCATTTTTACAAAGTTTTGTTATTTGTCACAATGGTTAAACTTTTGCCATCCATTTTTAAGCAATTCCCTGGTAAGGTATTGAGCTCGCATTTTGCCCACATACTCGTTGTGAACGTCAAACATTAAAAAGAATAAATGTGCTTCAAAATTTGGCTTAGGTTTTCCATTTTAATGTTTAAGCGATTTTTCGCACGTATCTTTGAAAGGGAACAACTAAAACTCCAAAACTTCTAGTAGCTGCATCATCGAACAAAGCGGACAAATCCTTTAAATGAAGTTTATATGAGATATTAACGAAGTTTCCGACTTTTTGGTAAAATCGGAGGATGGTTTTCGATAATTTGACGTAAAAGAATTGTTGGAAGTAAAAGATCCTTCAAAATGATCATAATAATCAATAATCCTCCTAAAATGATTTTCCTTTGAATAATTTGGTTGATAACGTGTCATTGAGGCTAAAAAGATGAAATTAAAAATAAATAAATATGGTCCCCACAAGCAATCTGGGCAGCATTACCTGGATGGCTCTGAAAGCTGCGAGATGAAATTCATCCTTCTTCTTCGCGTGAGAGTTAAGGCGCTACGACGGTTGCGTGGACGATGGAGCTTGAAGTAATTGCCTAGTAACCAGAGACTCTAAAAACCCTTTCAATGTGAGGATTACCACATATGCGATGTCACACCATGCTACGGATTTAAATTTTTATCTTACTTCTTTTAATTTTTCTATGTTTCTTTTATTATCATTAAAATACTAAATCTTAACACTGGCGTCATCTTTATAGTAAAGTAGAATGACACCCTACCATAAATAAATCAAAATCTGGAAGTGTTTAGATTTTAACAGTCATCCAAAAGCTTTTTTTTAAATTTTTTTTTACGCTCTTCTTGAGCTGACATCTACCAGCCTGCTGTCGCACTTACTCTTACTAACCCATTTCTTATTGTCTTTTTAGCTTTATTATTAAGCACACGTTCTCACTTATGCCATATACAGTTCAATAGTAAAATCACAGAAATTTAAAAAGGAGTATACGCTTAACGTTCTCGATGCGGTGTTAAGTGAAGCATATATATTTAAAAATTTTTTTTCAGACTTTTTCTCAGTTCATCACATCAATGTTCAGTTATTTAGGAAGATGGCTTGCTATTTTTTTTGTCTTTGTATTATTAAAGTTTTGTGCGTTAAATTTATTAATTAAATATCATGTTCTTTGCATTTACACCATTCAAATTTCAATTCAAGAGAAGAATCACAAAATATTTAAAAACAGCATAACCCTATAATTTTCAATTGACAGTCTCGCGCGCTGAAGATAAAAAATATTTTATTCCGCACTGTTTTGCCACTGCTCACTTTCGAATCATTGAGTTTCTTACAAAGTATGAAATATAAAATTCGAAATTCAGTATTCGGACTTTCACGTGCACATGTTCGGGTAGAGAACTACGTTATTCGAAATTTGATGACCTTAAGGTACCATCGTTTTTTTCACAATGCGTGGAACATACATACATGCAGATTATGCAATATTTAATTTCTTTGAAAATAATGCAGGGAGATAATGTTTGTGGCAACAATTTGGAAAGTGAAACAGCCGTTTGTGGACGACGTAAAATCCCATTTTGGAGCTAAAAATAGCCCATTTGGGCTAATTCAATTTTGGGGTAGTAAAACGCTTTTATTATACACTCATAATTAAAACTCATAAAATCAGTAATAAAATAAAAGAAGAAAAGCATTTTTCATACAATTTAATGGGAACAACAGATTAAATAATACTCTTTAAAAACATTACCTATAATTTTACATCACAAAAAAAGCATAAAGATAATGGCTTATACTTTTGACAGTGCTAATCGATTATTCGATTTCGCTGTTAACCGCCAAAAGGCTTTTTATTCGTGATACAAAGTTGTAGACGAATTCTGTAAAGAAAATGATTTAATCTACTGATCCCATTAAACTACATGAAACATTACTTTCCTTCTTTCAGGTCATCAATGATTTAATGAATTTTTAAGTAAAAGTTTATTTTATAAAAACTTTTATTTTTTTATTTATTGAAATAACCTCATATTACAACTGCAGCCGGAAATTTGACACCACACATTTTCATTTCTTTGAAAGCCAATCAGATTCAGTAAGAAAACAAAATATCATTGAATCTGGATATTATCAATCCTATGCCGTTTTTTATAAATGAAGGTTGTAGTCAATTCTCCAAGATTTTAATTGGTATTTTTAATTAATTTTAATTTGAAAATATAGCCCATTTTATGCATTCACTATTCTGATAATCAAAGCAATTTGTTGGAACAAGTAATGTAAAAGTTATGATTCTTCTTTTAAACTAAAATATAATTAAAGATCTCAAATGTTAATATACCAACAAAAGAGAACTTCTTTTTTTCATTAAGTGTTATATTTTTTAAAACCATTCGAATATTACCAGATAATTTCTGTAAGACTCATAAAGGCCGCTATCTCTTGAGGGAAATGGCCATCTGAATTCAACTTACTGGTTCAATTCAGACTGCCTTGCCGGTTCTCGAAATTCGAGACGCACTTAAGACGCTTCCAATATCTGAAATTACGCGCACGGCTATTCTAATGCTTAGACGCATCTTCAGGTTTCTTATATATAACGGAGAGTAGCTGCATCATTTGAAGCGCGCTTAGGAAACAAATTCATTCGCTGCCAGCTGTCATTTATCGATTATTCCAACTGAAAGTCTGGCATTGATCTCTTTGAACGCAGTCTATTCTCATTACTAACAAAACAACAATTAAAACTCTCCCTTCAGTTGTATGAATGCATATTTCATGCTTAACATTTAAAACGATATCTGGATTTACGATACGAGAGTTTAAAATGTGTGCGCACATTTGATACACTTTTATGCTTAATTATATTATTCAATATTTTCGTGAATAATCAGCATGGAAAACCTCATCACGTAATCTCTTAACAATAGAAACATTTTTCGAAACAATATTTTGTTTTAGTTACGTATAAATACAAACATTTAGCTCTTCAATTTGTGTACGGTCCCTGAATATGATTTTCGATTTTTAATATCAGATGCAAAGTAAATACAAGGACTAGAGTAACGTCCCGTTCACCTGGAATCGAACCCAGTATTGTTCAGTGACTTTAACGCTCAGCCGCTCTTGGGCCATATTTTAATTGATAATTTAATGGATAAATGCAATAAATATAAAAGAATCGAAAGATTTCATTAACTGCGTATTGGTTACATTTAAAGGATATGTAGTATATCAACATCATATCGTAGGAGGGGGTTACACAAACTCAAAAGAATCGCTCTTCTCTCCCCCCCGAAATAAAATCCTCTACAGAGGGGGGGGGAGGCAATGAGACAAAAAAGGTTAGAAAACTATGTTAGCAAAGCTAACTGTATGAATGCCTGCATATATATAAGCAGCGCTTTCAATATTATAAACTTGATTGCCATATAAAGAGTAATTAATACCTGTAAACTATTTTTCTAAACATGCACTTCTTATTATAAGGGAATATAAAACGTTTGAAAAATGAATCGAATTCTTACAACTTGTAGTTTTGTATTTATTTTGTTATCCATATTGAAAAACATTTATTTTATAATTAGAGATACCCATAAAGGCAGAAATAAGATTGCTTCATTTCCTTGGCATCTTTAGCTACATGCGCTCGGAAAAACGTATTCAAGAGGCATATGAATGTTGTGTATTTTTGGTTCGTTCATAAAGTTCTGGAGAAACACGGAAGAATAAAAAATAATTTTATAATTTTGTTTTCAAGAGTTAAGTCAACAAAATTTATAAAATATTACTTCTATTAATGTTATTTTAATGCTTCAATATTTAAATTAATACTCATTCATGCAAAAAAATTATGGTTTTGTTTTATTGATTACTCTCGAATCAAGAATTTAGTAGATAAATTAACAATATGGTTGCTCTAAACAGAGTATTACTGCCGTATTACTCAATGAGTAAAGTGTGCATGCGATATCTGAACATGCATTTCTGTTTCTAATTATTTTGAACAATTCAGCGTCGGTTCCTGTGAAAGATACGAAACGTCCATAAATTTTCCCAACATGAAATTAATGCGTGTAGAATCTTACCATGTGTGCCATTTTTCCCAAGAGCAACTGCGCATATTCTCCTGCTCCTGCAGTCGATATTAGAAATGGATTAAGTTTCAGCCTTGCCAAGCAGTCAGCCACGTTGCGTGCGACACCACCTGTTGTGCTTTCCACTTTACCATCCAGAGTCCGACCATCCATCTAGAAATTAAGCAAAAAAGATTTCAATCTCGGCAGCTGTTAAGTGGAGATAACATAAAAGATGAGACAGTTAACACAGCGTGGACTATTAGTTCTATAGATGAGATTCGTCCCCCACCTATCCAGATGAATTATAACAGTCGACAATTGCATATCATTCATTTGAGTGTTAAGAACGGCTTGTGACCAGAATATATGTGTCAGATGTAATAATATTGGAATAGTAGGTAAAGAATTGACTTGAAAGCTCGGTTAACGAAAGTTCAACTTTTAAGTTGGACTAAAGCACAACATGTTAATTATTTCTATGAAAGGGAATATAAATTAAGTTTCTGTGTTGGTTCATATATCAAATGCGCATGTTATCGAAGAAAAAGATGAAAACTAGAGCATATTTATGTAGAAGGAAAAATACATCGGAAAGTATGAAATAATATCTCTGAGATAAAATCGAATTTGAAAGATTTAGCATAATATGGCAGAGACACATAACATGCCTACCTGTCATTGAATATGTGGGGAATAATTCATGGTATACGTAATCAACGTTGCTTTTAAAATGTTTCTAAAGAATGATGCACTTCGGTTTCTTTCAAAATGTAATCTTAATACAAAAATGTATACCTTCTAAAAAATATTTGCGATCCTAATTCGATTTTGCTTTGAAAGGTTCAGATGAATGATCTCGACGGAAAGCTGTTGAAATACATACAAAGAAGCAGTTAGACATTAAAAATATGGTTAAAGGCGAAAACATAGCAGCAAAAACATCACGGAAGAAAACATCGCGAAGAAAACAACGCAAGGCGAAAAAGTCGTGGTACAAAACATCGTGGGAAAAAAGAAAGCTAAGAGAAAACATCGCAGTTCTAAATCATCGTGGTATAAAATATCGTCATCGAAAATAAAGCGATTCAGGAACTTCGCAGTTTAAAAACATCGTCGTCTCAAAAGATTATCAAGGACATTTCTATTATTTATTTCTTCCGTAGTTACCTATTCAGAGCAATGCTTTGAGGAAAATTCTGCATTTCGCAAATGTCAATTCTAAGTCTACTAAGTAACTAATTTCCAATATATCACAAATTTATTACAATTATTGAAGACTCAAAGCTGGATTTGAATATGGCTACCTTTTTGATGAAGTAACATTTAGCTCAAAGAAAATTTGTACTCTATTCAAAGTTCTAAAACTTTTACAAGATCCAAAATAATAGGCAGCAAATGGCACATGATTTTTAAAAATAATGATTATAAATGCATGAAAATTTAAAAAATAATTCTTCGGCGTGTTATTTTATCTTAATCTTCGTGTTACTTTATTTTTTGTTGTTTGACTTCTAAATTAATATTCAGATGTCAAACAACAAAAATCAGCGTTTTATTTGTAAATATTTTTCACAGGACTAGTTTCGATGGTTTTACCGAATCAATATCTTCCAGCTACTCAACTTTTATATTTCCTTTCGCAGCTGAGGATGATGGTTCGGTAAAACCATCGAAACTAGTCCTGAGAAAATTTGCCAAATATAACTCTGATTTTTGTTGTTTGACTTCTAAATTAGTTCTTATGTGGTTTAAGTTCCTGTAACCTCAGCATACTATGAAAGAATTTTTAGTGTCATGGCAACTAAATGGAGAAATTAAAAAAACAGAAGTTCGATTGAGCTTATATAAAAATTTAATTATTTATAAATTTTAATTTGTAAGAAAACATTCAGAATTCAGAGAAAACAATAAAAGGCTGTATACACATTTTTAAGTCTGCCAAAAAAATAAAAGCAAATACAATTTTAAAAATTAAAAGTTTAATTTACTTTTAAAAATTTCAATTTTAATTAAATTTATTTTAAAGCTTTTTTACATTTTTTTAAATTGAATTCCAGTGATTGTTTTCCTAAGGCAATTTTGTGTTTAATGAGCTAATATATTATGATTGTTTTCGCAATGCATTTTGGTGTTTAATGAGCTGAAACATCTCAATAACAAAGCTTTTTTTATTGTTTTCGAAGTCTTAAATTTTTTATTAACATAGCCATTTAATTTAAAATTGCGTTCCAGTATAGTAATAATAAAAACATATTAAAATAGGTATATTTTATAGCAGCCTTTATTGTGACTCGACAGAGATGACACCCTAGAATAATACGCTTTTATTTATTTATTTAGCACTGATTATTATGTTTTTATTTTTTAAGTGTTGCGCTTGATGGTATTCGTTTTGAAAATTTTCATCTCAAATTCAAAACATATTTTGAAACAAATTAACATTTCCATTTTCGTAAGTTTTATTTCCAGCATATTTCAGGAATATTGCATTTCTGCAGCGTATCATGTTTTCAGTACTATTTCTAACCCCTTTTTCTGCTTTCCTTCATTTTTGCAGACCGTTAAGAAAGTTTCTGAATTTGTATACTTTTGTATTTCCTTTAATTAGTTCCGTATCAAAACACGAACAAACAAAACAAAACAAAACATTAAGCTCAAAATAGAAGTTTTATTTTCATAGCCATTTCAGAAATTAGTAATTTGCAGCAATAACATTTTAGAACGGCATAGAAACATATCTATGACATTGAAGACGAGGAAAAAAAAAAGTTTTGCTCAGTTCGTATGCAGTAAAAACGTATACTCTCAGATTGAATTTGATTAATGACGGCAGTTATTCATAGACACAAACAGCAAAAATAGCGTCACTTATATACGATGCATCAAATGTATGTTAAAAGTAATTAAATCTATAATATGGAAATAAAAAATACCAGTAGTTCGTAACAAGAGAAATTTTCATCATTAATATTTTATGTTTCCGCTGTGTACATATATATATATCCACATATATAAGTTTTCATTAAACATGTTGAAATTCAGTTTTAATAAATTAAGACTATTACAATAAATTTCTTACTTTAATTAAGAACATTAAAAAGATTTTTTAAAAATGTTTTTAAATTAAAATTAATTTTATTTCAAAAACATTTTCGATTTTTTACAATCCTTAATGTTTTACAATCCTTAATAATTTGCAACCATTTTTTCACATTACTTTACAGTTAACATTTTTACAATTTATACACATTTTTACAGTACTTCACAGTTAGCAAAAACATTTTTGCAACAATACACACATTTTACATTACTAAAAGTTTACAGAATAGGTTTTTAAAATAGATCTAACAGATAGCAGTGTGCTGTATTGGCCGAAACCGCTACGCAAACCCTGTGTTGGGACACAGGGTTGGAATGAACTTCAAACTCAAGTTTTAACAATAAAATGAATTTTAATAAGATGAAAACCTTAACAGTTGCATATCTTGACAATATGGAACTTGGATATATTTAGCCCCGTAATTTCAGAATTTTGTTACAGGAAAAAAAAAAAAATGCTCTAACGTATTATATACGAGGAATGATCGTTCTTAGCAGGCCAACATGCCCATAGCTCTAAACAGTAAAGTTGTTCCCTCTTCTCAGGAAACCACCTTATATATCTCCCTGTGTTTACTTGCGCTGAACTCCCAGGGGGAAAGATTCTTTCACTCATACATAATAAAGTGTCCATCTCTTGACCCTGATGAAAAGACTTCTTTTATCTCTTTGTCCACTGAAGTGACCTTCGAGGCTGCAACCGGAATCATAAGGCAAAGTATTTCACCCCTGATTTGAAAACTATTGCACTCTGAAAACTCATCCTAGACAAAGAACCTTTATGCCACCTTATCACATAAACTCTAATTCGGGCAACATTACCTGGCTACTTCAAGAGCGACCTTAACATGATACAGAGGCCTTCCTTAGTTGACTGTGCCGGCGAGGCGCCAACCCACCGAACAACCCGCAGGGACTTCTCATGTTCATCGCCACAATCCATCACACTGAGGGCTGCTCGGGAAGCCGCCACCCCGGCACAGCGCTTAAATCTACATGAGAGCGTCCCCACAGCGAAGGCAACGGACACGACAGTACCAGTACGGTCCCTGCCAAGCCCGCACCTACCATAGGATGGACCTATGGTTCTAGTCCTGTGAAGTCTGATTATATACCTAACAAATCGAAGCTGGCAGAACACAAGTCCAGCCAGTGGTCTGGAAGAACTCCGGGTCTCCTCCCAAAAATGGTCGGTTCCAGAAATTCACACCACTCGATTCCCTGGGATTGGTTGCTCAGGGTCATTAGCCTATACGAGCCAAGGCCTGGACCAAGGCACCGTTTCCAGCGGGACCATGAGCAGGCTGACGCTGAGCTGTGGGAGACGCACGCAGGTGAACCTGAAGCCATTCCCACAGTCCCTGCCCATCGATCAAACGCCGGGTCTCCTGCCTTCCGCCAACACTATGATGGTTCCAACACCGAATACACATGGAAAGGACATCTAAAACCGGAAAACAGCGTCTTTCAGGCGGAAGTTACTGCTCTCACAGCAGCGGTACAGCATATACTCAACAACAATATACAGGTATCTACCATATACACGGACAGCCTTTCAGCAATAAATGCAATAGAAAATCAACACCATGTATCGCCGAGCATCATTAACTTGCAAGACATCCTGCAGCATAATCGTCACACTAAAATTACCATGGTCTGGGTCAAAGCCCATGATGGCAACCAGGGAAATGAAGCAGCTGACCGTTTGGCTAAGGATGCTGCAAGCAATCTCGAAGCACAAGAAATAAATATTCCTGCCCCACCATCCTATCTAAAGCGTCATTTGCAGGGACAAGCAATACGACAATGGCAAGAAGAATGGACTAATGCGGAAACAGGGAGGCGCACCTATGAGCGTATTTCAAAGGTATCAACTGACCGCCTTATCGCCATTGCTCCTTTGGTAAACTACATAACAGGTCACGGGCCGTTCCCGTCTTATTTTCATCGACATGGGATATCAAATACAGACATCTGTGCCTGTGGAGAAGACGGAACGCCAGACCACTACCTATTCAGGTGCCCTCTGACAAATACCATGCATCTTTTCATGCCCACGAGCAACATAACTGCCTACCACCGACTGATAATAAAGCAC